CGACATTGTTCCTTTTATATCCGAAGCGCCTGCTTCTCGAAGATTCTCTCCGCAGCACGTACGAAGCTTCGCGCTGCGTCTCGAGAATTCTCCACGCGGCCGGGAAGAGTCAGAGGCGGACTCAGGGTAATTTTCGTTACAGTACAATCTAATATAAATTTCTGACAATGTTTACTAGTGTAACGTAACTGCTAACAACATAGCATAGACGTTTATCAACAACTAAGTAAATTAAGTTTACTTGCAGTACTTGCACAAACAAATTAACATTGAATAACAAATGAAAATAATCGAATTCCGTTAGAAAAACAACACAATACAACAAATTCGCAGGGACCAGGATCGTAATAGAAAATTCATATTTCTTTGCTAATTCCGCTAATTGCAAATCTAGTAGGCTGTGCAGTGCGCTGCGTTTGACTTACGTAGGTATATGAATATATTTTAGTAGTATTTAGTAGTATATTTTTCGGGTTTGTAATTTTTTTAGTAAAACCATAGTGGTTTATTTTGATTTTTTTATTTTCTGCACTTAGCGGAGCCTTTTTATAATTTATAAAAAAATTTAGGGGGGGGCAGCTGCCCTGTGGGAAAAATTTTACTACACACCCTTTGGTTTGCTACTTTAGATTGTGTAGTGTAAGATCGTTCCGTTTGATTGCCGCTAACCATGGTATTCGACTTTTTCCTGATAGTTCATTTAAATGGGGATAATATACTGAACTGGTCACGTTTGGAACCCTTTAGAAAGACGAGGATATTACACACTACACAGAATAGCTATTCCTCATGAGACCTGTGTCTAAAAGCCCCCACCTCGCCAAAGTACCAGTGATGACGCAGGCAGCATGTAGTTTCTCGCCTTGATGTAAGGTGTTTGCACCACAGGCTATGATTCCGCTGGCTATTGCTTTATGCATACTTGGTTTTAGTAGGTACATTGATTAACATTCAAAAACAACCCTTTTTTAGATATCGTTTGCATCGTCCTCTCTCTGTATAATACAGTATATACAGTGTGATTTTTTTAAGTGTGCAACAAATGGGGATTTTTTTTAGTAATAGCACAACCCAAATACAAACAAGGCCAAAAGTTGGTGCATGTCTGATAATCATATTAGGTGCACTTAGAATGGTTGCAAGTCAAACAGCATACAGGGTAGCTCAAACAATATCAAAGCTGTACTGTGAAGTACCCTTATTTTAGAAAATTCAGGAAAATGTTATAGAGAAAAGTTGTTTAGAATTAAAAGTTATGCCTAAATACCAAAACATTGCCTCCAAAGATTTTTTTTATTTTCTTTCGAAAAAAATCTATAATTTCTATATTTTTTTTATTTTTTATTTCCGCCCTTGATACTTTCAAAAATTAATTAAAATCAAATCAATTTTACATAACTTTGTTCAAATTCAAGCATATTTGTAAAATTAACTTAGATTTTTAATTTTTTATGGAATCAAAAAATTCATGTTTGTTGCAATGATATTCAACACAACTTTAAAATGTCGAAATTTTTTTTTTTTAAGTTAAAACATTACTAATGATAATAGCTATATTAAAAAAACTCTCCTTAAAGTGCAAAAGTTTTATTTTATTTGAGTAAATATTAGTAGAATTTTGATATTTTTTGAGCCACTCTGTATGCTGTTTGACTTGCAACTATTCTAAGTGCACCTAATATGATTATCAGACATGCACCAACTTTTGGCATTGTTTGTATTTTGATTGTGCTTTTTCCAAAAAAAAAATCCAAATATAATATTTTTTATCATAAATGTACATTCTAAAGAACGAACGCTGGCGCAAAAAGCTGACGACGTAGTTGATGGCGTCGTCAATGGTGCTACACAATATTGCCGGAATTTCCAAAAACGAGGCCGATAAGCAATTCTGTGTAGTAGTATCTATTAAGGATGAGTCATGGTACACCGTGACGGGCCCGAGCCGGGTACGTTCCGCGCAGTGGACACCGAGCCTCTCGTCCGAGCATTTCTGTGACGGGGCACGGTCGCGCCCGGCGGCGGCTTGCCCCGTCACCGAATTGCTCTGGTACATTTTTTCCACGGATCCGCCGCGTCCCCGGTACCTTGCGACAAGCATGAACACTCTTCCGGGCACGAGCAGTGAATTGTTCTTGTATTTTGAATACTCGACTGGGAGGCAGTGATGTGCCTGTAGATACAGTGACTCAATTACCACAGTGGCGACAATTGCTGTCTTATTTTTGATTGTTTCTAAAATCCCATATATTTATATTGAAAACGCCGCCATCTTGTTCCCAACCTCTTGTTACTTTTAAATATGAATATATGGGATTTAGGTGAACATCCATCATAAATCATGAAAAACAACGTATTTGATTAACCTAATACTGGTCATCAAATACGTCGATTTCAATTTTTTATGATAGATGTCCATTTAAATCCTATATATTATTATTGAAAAGCAACAAGAGGTTGGGAACAAGATGGCGGCAGGACCTCTATTGTCGCCACTGTATGTTAAGGTTTATTTAGCCACTGTACCTGTAGACAATAGTTGTATTCCTTTCACATCTATGAAAAGCTCGGAACAGTGTTTGTTGCACCTGATTACTCAAGCCCGAAGTAAACCATTTAAATGCACGAAAGCCAGCGCATCTTTTTCTTTCAAATCGGGGCTACAAACACCGGAGCGAGTAGCTCTAGTGTTTCAAACTCTTGGAAGGAATACAGCTAATGTCAACGTAAACGTAAACAATTGATTATCTACGCGTAGACAATTCGAATTGTTTACGTGAGCATTTGTCTAAACATTGTTTGCATGTGGCGTAAACAATAAACTTATTTTAGAAAATTCAAAAAAAGGATCCAAAATTACTACTACCTAAGTAGCTAATACCCAAGAATCGTAAACTCTACAGGATTGCTCAATCGGCTAAATTTGTTCACAATTGCTGTGACGTCACGCGCATGCCGGATTTTCAAGATGGCCGCTGATACGAATGATGTTTAGTTTGTGCTGACAACTATTTTATCGTAAATTCGGATTTATCTAGTGTTATAAGTGTAAATTTAAAATTTCATTTAATGTGTGTAAACATAAAAGACTCGTGGCTGAAAATACTCGCGAAAACCCCAAGCATTTTCTGGTTTTATAATACTGGATTTGTTGTATCAGGACATCGCTCTTTTATTTGTGTGTATTGCTAGTTAGTATTTCCTAGTCAAGCATTTGTTTTGCTTTTTTTTTTATAAATCAAATATCTACTTAGTTGTAAGTTTCCTTTGCATGTAATTACTAATAAAAATTAGGGTTTGTGAAGAGTGAATAAATAAATATGTAAATAAATTCCTTTACTGGCGCGTTTACTATGAACGCATGGAAAATATGGGAAACTTGCAATGTTTTTCTGGAATATGATTATGAGAATCTAAATTAGGTATCACTATTTGGCTTTGTGAAATAAGCTCACTTTGAATGTCCATATTAAATCGTTCTAGTACTTATTAAATTAATGAATAATAATTGAGAAGTACCTAGGTAGGGTCAGTAAAAAATAAAGCACACTATTGCAACCCCGTTTCGCTTATATTTTGATATTGAAATGCAAAAATTAAACCGGCTCGGCACTCCACATTTGGTTTTCTACTGTTTCTCAACTGTAGTCAATTGTGCCCGTTTTGTGCTCAATTGTGCCAGTATTTATGCGAATTGTGCTCATTTTCATACACACAAAAAAACTTGAAACGAATCCGGGGGCCAGCTTGACTCCAGCCCTTCGTTTGTTTGACTTTTTGGCAATATGTTTGGCTAATTGATAAACAAAAGCAAACAAACTCGTCTTTCTAATTAGCAATTAGCCAACCACTCAAGCCTCAAGGACACAAGCTTTTGAAGTCTGCTAATTTTAAAATCAATAAATTAATTACAAAATACAGTTTTCAAAGGAAATAACCTCAAAATAACAATTTTTCACGTTTGAAAATGCAAGAATAGTGCACTGTCATAAAAAACACAAACCGATCAAGGACTGCGTGACGTCATTCGCATACCGCCATCTTCGATGTTTTTATGAACGTTTGTCTTATGGGATTGAGCAATCCTGTAGAGTTTACGATTCTTGGCTAATACCTATAACTTTGATATCAGCATTCACTGATTATAAGAAAGTGTGAGGTTAGAATTACACGTCATTTATTGAGGTTGGAACACAAACGTCCATGCGAGACAAATTTCATCTTGCTATGGCCCTCATGCCGTCGAGGAGCTGCTATTTTCCGTGCATTCGGTATTTTGATCTGAGTTCTCCGAGCTTGAATTTACCGTCCGTTTATTCGAAAAGTGTACTCTGGCAGGCTCATACGCGTTTGTTTATTAAAATTTTGGGCACTCTGATACAGCGAACAACTGCTCTGTTCGCTCGCTGGTAACGAGATTACGGCTCCGCTCAGCCCGCTCTGCTCTTTGAGCTAAATACCGAACGCAAGGTTTATAAGTGCAAAAGTATGCGTCGGGGTGTCGTCTGTAAAAATGTACTAGCAAACTGAACGACTTGGCAAATTTTACCCAAAGCAATCTGCAGGCGGATTTCAGATGGTGGCAGTTTGTTACTAGAAGTTGGCTTGTTTTGTTTTTGTTCTTTTATTGCAGTTGCAAATCTACTTGAGTTTTTTGATTTTATTTCAGTTTTGCACTGCCGTGTATTCATCACTTTATTGCTCTTTTTGAAGCGCCGGTTTCATTTCTCGAATGGGAATCACAAATTGCGCCGAAAGCGCGGTGAACGCAGAGCGCGCTCGGGTGAAACCCGACGTTCAATCTGAACGCGCCCAGGAAAGTTCATCAAATTTTGTAGTCATGACAACCGCAAGTAACAAATATTTTGAAAAATGTCCGAAGTAAATCCTGAAATTATTTCAAAAACCCAAAAATCTTTGGGAAAATACGTGAAAAAGCCGGCCTTAAGTGAAAAACTGTTAAAAAAACCACCTTTTAGGTTTCTGCACGACATCATTAAAGTTATTATCAAGGATACTGGTTTTCTGAAAGGGCTATTTATGGAGACAGAGCTTAACAGTGACAATGTTAAGGAAAAAGAGGCTAAACTTGCCTTTTTGACTAAGCTCATTGAAGCTATAAGTAAGTACCTGAACATTAAAATAACTTGATAGTGAATAGTGTATGGGCCACTTTCACGTGCCGGGAATATGACAATTAAGTTATGATATTTTCTGACGCAGATACATGAATGCAACGGAGAATGGACTATATTTTGCAAGACTTAGGGCGGGTATTATAAAACTACTTTGAGAGTTAACTTGAAGTTAACTTCTGGAATTACATGTAATTCAAAAAGTTAACTTCAAGTTAATTGTCAAAGCAGTTTTATAATACTCGCCCTTAGGGCGGGTTTTATAAGGGCGGGTATTATAAAACTGCTTTGACAGTTAACTTGAAGTTAACTTTTTGAATTACATGTAATTCCAGAAGTTAACTTTAAGTTAACTCTCAAAGTAGTTTTATAATACCCGCCCTTAAACTGCTTTGGCAGTTAACTTGAAGTTAACTTTTTGAATTACATGTAATTTCAGAAGTTAACTTTAAGTTAACTCTCAAAGAAATTTTATAATACCCGCCCTCAGTCAGATTATTAAATAAATTGATAAATAAAAACGAAAAATTTAAACAAAAAATCACGTGACTGAAAACGTTCTCTTGGCTAAAGCCGATATTCATTTTGTTGCCACATCTAAAAATACGAAATCTAAATGAGTTCAACGATCATACTTACCTATCCTTTATTTTTTTATAACGCAGTGAAGGACGAAAATATAGAGGGTGTGGTCCAAAAAAAAACGGAATTTTGTTTTTGAGCTGTAACTTTTTTTTTGTTGACCAATTTCCTTTTGTTTAGGCTTGTTCGAAACAGAAATGAACAGGCTTACGAAGCAAAGTGGAACATTTGACATTTGGAAAATTCAATGTGGCAAACTCTCGGGCAAACTTGTTCATAAATTACCTAGTTTTGGATAGCGCTGGAACTTTTTTGTGACTCCCTGTATAACTTTTTGTAATAAATTCTCAAGGATCATCATTTTGCGAACATTTTAAGACCTAGAGAGAAAAAAACGGTTGGAAAATAAGAGCAATATTGAAATTTTTGTAATATCGGATATTCGAATATCAACTTCTCATATCCAAAACAAGAGCTGTTTTCTCGCGTTCACTTTTTTGAAACTAGTTCAAAAACAAGTTTAAGATAGTATATTCTCGCGATGAACCCATAACGTCACATCAAAATTGGTTCAAACCGTTTCGAAATAGAATCCAATGCACGTTTTAAAACCATTTTCTCGCGCCGAGAAATTATGATGTCATTGTGAAACTGTTTTAAACCAGTTTTGAAAAATGTTTCAAAACTTTGAGACGCGAGAAAACACCTAAAGCCGCGTCCAGATTAGTGAATAAATGCGTTGCGTTGAACGCAGGATTCGCCACAAATTTTTGCGGCGCAAATTTGGGATCTTGACCGACATAAATAGGTCTGTTTCTGCAGAAATCACAAACCAGTCAGAGTGAATTTCATTGGTTGAAACTAGTTCTCTGACTGTTTGTGACTGTTTTCAACCAATCAAATTCGCTGTGACTGGTTTGTGATTTCTGCAGAAACAGACCTAATATTTGTGTTGTGCGCCGTGCGTTAAAGCCTCGGTTAAAGCTCAACAGAGGTGTGTGCCTATTTTATTTCAGTGTGCGCGTTGCTTGTTTTTGTAGGTTATTTGTTTTGTTTGTAGTTCAATTAATGAATGACCATGGATATCCTGACGTCATACTCGGTCATAAGCCCAACGCAAAAGACAACTCTCTGAGAGCTAACACGAACATGATCTTTTCGTTTCGACCGCGCTCAGAGTTTATAGAGTGTGAAGCCGAACTCAGCCATAATCACAGACTCACAATTTGTCAAAATTGATGCGTTCGCGAAAAAATACGTCCAGTAAAACGTTGTTGCGCCGGAAACCTCTTCGATGTCTTGAAAAAAACCGACAAGCCGTGGATCGCGTGCGGTGAATGCCGCCAAACTTTTTGCGTGCGTCCGTATGTGGCAAACACGTCCAGACTCGCATAAATTTGTATCGCACATACAAATTTGTGCCGAATGGCACGCACAACGTAAATTTTTACCAATGTGGACGAGGCTTAAGGTGATTTTATTAATTTTTCAAGAAGTCCGCCATTTTGAATTTTTCTCAAATTTCAAAAGTTTCAGTTTGATTCGTTAGCCTGTTCAATTCTCTTTCAAACAAGGCAAAACAAAAGGAAATTGGTCAACAAAAAAAAAGTTACAGCTCAAACACAAAATTCCGGGTTTTTTTTACCACCCTATAGTTTCTAGGTAGTGAGTTTTTTACTAATGAGAAATTTGATGTCATGGCATTTTTACTGATTTTCGAGTTTGTGACGTTAGACACAAAAGTATACAGATAGTAGAATGACTAAAAGAATAATTTGAATATGTTTTTGAAAAATGTGAAAGTGGCCCATTTACATTTTTGCTAAATATGCAGTCATATAATATAACAAATATAGTACCTTCAGTTACAAACTTCTAGGATTTTCTCAATTTACTAAATACTTTGCACTCTAGAAGTCTGGGCTGTCTTGGGTACCACATTAACAGCCAATAATTTACCATAGTTTTTTCTTGTTTCTAGAGGTTCTTTCTAAAACAGACCTAAAAGTACGTCCAAGCAAAATCGTTGCAGGCCTAGAACCTACTGAAACCAACATTTTATTGCAAACTATTGCAAAATGTATTGATAAAAAGATCAGTTCCAATGAATATGTGGCAAAAATTAATTCTGCTGAACCAACTGGTAAAACTGAGAAAAAATCCAGCACAAAGAAAAGAGAGACTATCAAAAAAGGGAGGAGCATAGAAACTCCTAAAACTACTGACAGAGCTAAGGAATCATCTAGAAGCAAAGAAACAAATAAAAAGGATAAAAAGGTCAGCAATAAGCCTGAGGAAAAAAGCCAGAAAAAAACAAAGGCCGAAGGAGAAACACTTGAAACTAAAATAAGAGAAAACCACAAAAATGAAGTTCCCGATCCTTCTACTGAAGATGAACCTGAACTTATCATAAAGGAGACCATTAATGAAGCAGCTGAGCCCTTAGTACAATCTCCAAAATCAACAGAGCCAATACTGAATCAAGATATTACCTCTTCTAATGCGATACAGCCTCTACCAAATACATTTTCCAATGCTAGACAAAGTAGTGCAAACCTAATCCGACCAAAATCTGCGAGACCCAAAAGCGGAGACCGTGTCTTATCCTCAAGAGGCCCAAAGGTGGATGAAATACGTCCTCAAAGCTCTTTACGACCACCAAGTGTCCGTCCATCAAGCGCTAGACCTGGAGCTCCTAAGTTAAGGCCAGAATCAGCATTGGTTGGCACTAACATTAAGGTCATAGTTGAAAGTTTTGATAGCATGTTATATGAAGATGGCACTGTTGTCATAGAGAATGCCCCAGAAGAAACCACTAATGAAGAATTAGTGATTTCCACTAGTGAAAATCAAGGTCAATTAGTTGAGCAAATTCTAGAGCAAATTCAAGAAAAGGAAAATATTGTCAGAAGAGTTGATATCAATTGGGAACAAGATGGTTTACGTGGTAAGGATGCCACAACCAAAGAAGTAACCCAATTAAGATCCCTTATACAATCTTTAACAAAAACAGCGAACCCTTTGGGCAAATTGATGAACTATTTGCATGAGGACTTGGACGTTATGCACAATGAGTTAAAAATGTGGACCAATATGAAGAAGCAACTCTATATGGAGATCGAGAAACAAAAAAAGTATGTCGAACCAGTTCAGATTTATTCAGAGCCTTGAGGAACAGGAATTTTATCATTGACTCCAAGCTCTAACTGGTTATTGAATAGTCACTAACGGATGTTTTTCAAGGCATTGATTGGTTCTGGACTGATTTTGCTTTTTTTTTATTTTTTCCTCAACTGACCAATTTTGAACTTTGACTTAATTTTCAAAGTTGGTTTGTAGTAAAGGAGCCACAGAGATGTTACCTTGCGCTGTTTCAATAGGTTCAAAAATTGTCAATTTTCGTCAAACTCACTTTTGAACCACCCAAACCTAAAGTGAGTGATAAATTCAATAAAACTCGTGTTAGTTCGTGGGCAGTGCCTGAAATGAATACACGCTAAAAATCAAAGAAACAATGCAACCAGTGAAAGTTGAATTTTTTACTGAAAAGCTAGAAAAAAATGGTTCAGGTTAATATAAGTGTATCTACATTTAACAAGATGCAAAAAAATTCATTTGAGACATTTAGGCCAGTCATTAGAGCGAAAAAAAGACCCGCAGCGGGCAAAAGGTGGGGGTCGTCGCGATTTTGACATATGTTGTTCAGATTGAAGTCTTAAACAAAAATTTGAGTTTTCGACCTTGGGCGGGGCCGGCTTCCTCCGCCATCTTGGATTTAGTGTTTTTCTAATATAACTCGTGAATGGTCAACTTTAGGAAAAAAGTATACGAACCAAAAATAGAGAAAATTGAATTTTCTATAATATGTATTTATATACAACTTTTTTTTGTAGCTGTTATCTGTAATGAGCTACAGCTAAAAAAACCAGAGCAAAATATTGTAATTTTTTAAAGTTTCTCGATATTGAATTGTTATTCATGAGTACGAAAATGTCATTAAGTTACTATATTTTCATTATATTATATAAATTTGTATTTATTTAATTTTATGATATGTAATTGATCTACAGGGTGACACTTGGAAAACTTACAATTAGCTATCTGAGGAACCAAAAAAAATTAAAAATCACTGAAAACAATAGGGAAGGGGAACCAAAATGATGTAATAACTGCTTTCACTTAACCCTTCACCCCCAGCCACCACTACTAAATATGTAATCTTGAGTAGCAACCCTCTACGTGTGATAGATACCTCATCTGATTCAAGTGAAGGGGTAAGTGAAAACAGGGTAGTTATTACATCATTTAGGTTCCCCCTCCCAATTACAGAAATTGTTTTCAGCGAGTTTTCATATTTTTAATTTTTTTTTGCTTCCTCAGGTATAGCCGTTAGAAGGTATTGTAAGTTTTTGAAGTGTCACCCTGTATATATTACATACCAAAATACAACAAAGCCAGTTGTGTATTTTGTCCTGGAATTGTATTTATTTATAAAGCGCTTAATACTCATTTCCTAACGAAACGCCGATACTCATCGGCATTGGTTCCATCGCAAAACAATAATATCTTCTTGCGAAAACCAGTAAAAGGCAAAACTCCTAAAAAACTGTACCTATTCATCAAACTGCTTGAAACACAAAGATCTCTCAGAACATATATTCTTTCTTCACGCATTCAGTGGATGTGACACGACTTCTACAGAAAAACCTAAATCTGAGGAAATAATTCTTCAGATAATTTAGAATTCGGAAGTAAGATACCAGCGCTTTATTAAATCTTCCATCAAAACAAAAGTGACTCTTGCGTCGTTGCCTCCAACAAAAGATGCTGCTCGCTATCATTTATTAAGAACATACCACCAAGTTCAAAAATGGGTGGGTATTAAAAAAAATCCTGAAGCTTGGGGTTGGAAGCAGACTGTTAATGGATTGATTCCAAATTGAAACGATCAAGAAACCTGCACCAGATACTTTATAAGAGTCATCTCAAGCAACTGCAAAAAAGGTTGTTCCTGAGTTTGCGGAGTTGAAAAGCTGGTCTCATATGTTCCATTGTTTTTGTGTGGACTAGTCTACGAAAACGACACAGACCTAGAAAATACAGTTGTCGAATATGAGGATTCCTTGCTTTAGGTAGATTATAATATGTGGCATGGCTGATAATGAGGAAGGAACAGACAAATTGACAAATATAACAAACAATACAGAACCAGAGGATAGAGAACGTCGCGCACTATACAGGGTGTATATTTCAAGTGATACCACTATCGCTATATCCGAAACGGTAAAAGCTACAAGGTCGGTCAAATAAAGTGGTATCACTTAAAATATACAAGTGATACCACTATTGCTATATCCGAAACGGTAAGAGCTACAAGGTCGGTTAAATTAGAGAAAAATTGCCTTTTTTGATGCCCATTCAAGACTTGTTTACAGTGTGTTGCCAAATTCCTTTTAGTTTATGACATACAGGGTGATTTCTAAAAAAACGCCCAAAATTTAAATTTGAAAGTTTTATAATTTTTTTTGCTCTACAACATGGCATCTTCAAATTTTGAATCCGACGTTTCGCGATCGAGCTAGCCTCATCAACTTCATTTTTTTGAATACGGACCTGAGCTGGGATCATGACCAGTAGAATTCTACTTTCATGACGTCACCCAAAACCTATTTTTCACTTACAGTACAGGCGAGGATGACGGTTGCTAGGCAACCTGACGTCATGAATGTATAATTTTAGTAGAATTCTACTTGTCGTGATCCCAGCCCTCGATTTTTTATATCATTTTTAGAAAGGTAATAAAAGGTACTTTCTAAAAATGACATAATAAATCCAGGTCCTTATTCAATCAAGAGATCAGAGGATGAGACGCGCCCACCAAACCTATTGTCCCGCAACCGGCGGCTGCGTCTGGAGGTTGCAAAAGACGCAGCAATCAGTCACCACCGCCAGACGCGTCAGCGAAACCGTACCTTAATAATAATATTTATTTCCAGCCTCTCTATGTACAAAAATAATTAAATACCTGTGGATTTCCTCTCAGAAGCCGCAAATAAATATTTCAGGTACTTTTTTTAAGCTTTGAGAAGCTTGTTTGCATCGCTTCTTTCAAGGGGTTGTTCACGTCGTTGACAATATGACCGTTGAATTGACATAATCAATGACTCAAAATGGATTCGCTCAGAGCGACAGAGGATTTACTGCCGTAGTCAACAAACATTACCTATCTTTTAACTTTGGGAGCGATTTTAAAACCTATTTAAAAGAGTAATTTTTAAAATCCGTATACATATACTTATTACTCAACTCATATCGCTTTTAAAGTTAGAGACGATTTTATTTAAAAGTGATTTTAAAAGAGGATGTCGAATAAGGCGTGACTCTTTTTTGACTAATTTTAATCCAATTTTAACATTGCTCATGTTAAAATTGAAAAACAATTGACAACAAAAAAATTAGATTTTTAGTTTGTTTGGGTTTGTCTGTAAAACTTCATTTCCCTTTTAGGTTAACTGTCGACTCCAGTAAGCCACTTCTAGAGCAACTGGATCAATTCAAACAGGAAGTCAAGAAACTCGAGCAGGAAATTTTTACGGTACGAAGCAACGTTTTGAGAAATGAGCAAAGAATTTCGGAATTTTTAGACAAAAATTAGCAAAAAAAACTATAAGGTAGCACCCCTATTCTATTTTTACACTGTTGTAGTTCTTAGAGTTAATTATTCCAAACAAGGATTCATAAGAAAAAATGTGATATTGGAAATAAATGAAAATTAGATGTTTCAAATGAAATGTTTCTGTTCTCCTGATCGTAAACATATAAATAATTTATATATGGATATTGGAAATGCATCCAATAACTAATTACGCGTTGAAAAGAGTACTTTATAGTAGGGATGTTCCAAGGTGCACAATTGTGCATATTATGCACAATCTGATCTCAATATGCACAATCTTCATAAAATATGCACAATTTTTACAATCCAGCCAAAACAACTCATAAGCCTGTTCACACAAAAATCACTCAGAGCGAATTACATTGGTTGAAAACAATCAGAAAACTAGTTTCAACCAATGAAATTCACTCTGACTGGTTTGCTATTTCTGTGCGAACAAACCACATAATGGCGGCTGTTAGTGAAAAGGTTTATTGCGAGTCGCTAGCAGAGTTAGGTTTATCCTCCTCGAGCGAATAGATGACAACCACATGTGATCAGTTTTGTAACTTCAAATGAAAGATCACGTGAGCTTCTATCAACAATATCATTTTTTAGCTCACGGAGGATTAACTTGATGACGCACGTGGGATGATGAGGCATCCAAAATGACGTCATAAAGTTAACCTGCTTCTCTCAAATAACCTTGATTCTACCCCTGCTTTCTCTGAAACCCAAGAGTCTTTTTCACGTGGCTCCGGTTTAAACTAATCGGGTTACAAAACGGTAAGTAGGGTATGTCAAATGATGACGTCATTAAAAATGCCACTTGAAATCGAACGGTTAAGAAAAATGTTATTTTGAATTAGGAAATTAAATGGCCTGCCAATATTTATAATAGGTTGATGTACCCTCTAGTAACTGCAATAAATTTCAGGTATATTTTGGAAAAAAATTACCCCATTATTTATATTTTAACTTTAATTGCTTCTATGTTCGTCAATTGATTAGGTGGGTAGAAACTTTAACATAATATAACAAAACACACAATTTTTTATTTAGGTTTACACCTGTCACAATTTCCCGAAATAACATACCGTTTTCTAACACGGTTACAGTGACGAAGTGGCGTCATTGATATCACTCAAATTTGAGCGGTATGTATGTATGTAGCATACCACATCAGATGAAGCAGATAATTATATTACTGAATACTGTTGGATCGAAAAGTAAATTCAAATATTCCAAGTAAGCGATAACGTCCAAAACTATAAAATTTATAGCTAAGAGAATGAAAATGTGGAAAACAATGTATGTTAACGGCGAACAGTACGGACAAGTCCAGATAAAGCGAGGAAAATTCCAAGGTGACTCCCTATCACCGGTCACGGGTCCCCTTTACAATGGCCCTGATTCCGCTTACTGTCCTCCAGGTAAGGACTAAACTCGGGTACAAAATTTCGAAGAGTACTGGAAAGATAAGCCATCTAATCTACATGGACCACCTTAAGTTGTATTGTAGAAGTAGAAGTCACACTGAATTCGAGTCCCTGAAACACCATGAGAGTTTTTAGCGATGACATCAGTATGGACATGGAGTTTAGGCTGGACAAATTCGCCACAATTGCGATGCACCAGAGGGAAATTGGAATAAACCGGGAAAGCGTTAGAGATCGCTGGACGCTGACGGAAGACACATAAAACAACTAAAAGCCGAAGACAGCTACAAATACCTAGGTATGCTGGAAGCTGCTGACCTTCTTCATGAAGAAAAAAGCGCGAAAATAATATCTCATAAGGCTCAAAAAACCTCGTCACAAAACTAACAAGCGGCAACCTCATCTAAGTCATAAATGCAGGGGCTGTACTCGTTGTAAGATGAGCTAGAAGAGATGGATATAAAGACTAGAAAGATCCTCACTCATTTCACATGCTAAAGAAAGAAGAATACAAGAAAAAATCCATAGACAACTGAATCGAAAGGTGGCAAAATAAAGCTCTACACGGAGTGTATTTACACAACATAAAGGAAGAAGAGCTTGGTGGGAGCCACGAAACCATTCTAAAATGTTAAGGCAAGGAGTGCTGCGTTGCCAAATTGACGATAATGCAAATCAAGTTTAATATTTGTAAAATTCGATTTAGATATTTAGCTAGAAGACCTTAACTGAATCAGAGAAATATTGGTTAAAATTTGTCTAGCTCTAAGCTAGTGTGAAAACGACGATTTTGTCATTGTTGCCAAACACTGTGGACTGCTACTGCAGTTTTTCTTCGTTGGTGACCGTGTGTGTGATAGAGCTGTGGTGATAGTGTGTGTATTTTGCAAAGGTGCCAGTGTTGCTGTTTTAGAAAAACCATCTGCTTCAGAAAAATTAACATTTATTTATTCAATAATCTAATTATTTATCCACATTCACACCCACAGGGTTCGCCCGATTTTAATCAACAATTTTATTTAAGTGATTTATTTTTTATTTCAATCAATGATTGAAATCAAAAGCCCTGGCACAGATATATAGAGACACGAAAATATTTGCCAAATAAGGCGGCTTACAAATTAATCTCCCTGTTAGATATATTCTGCATACAATTTTTACAGGAAAATACGCACAAAAAAAAGAACGATTATAGTAGCCTTCCTTTATAATTCATATTCCAATAAAAACTAATATGTTTTGTGACTGATCAAGATATCCCCAGTAGTACAGGAGCATAGGTTTTCTGAACGTGATTAATTAATAGATACGTTATTTGTTCAAAATTGTTTAAAAATGTTTTAAACGGCGTATTTCAATATCCTTGCATACATTTTCAAACCTTAAGTTGCGAGGAAAACTAGAATAAAATAAATGTGGAAAAGTTTACATACAGTGTCCACTGTCCACCATAATGTTCGCTACTTATGAGAAAACTTTTTATTTGTAGAATAGAATGATTTTTTTTCATGTGCGATCGATGCTGCATGTCCATTAACCTAAAAGTACATTTTGGAAAAAGTGTTTAGAACGATATTTTAGGATCGTCTATGAAATTTCGAGCCAAAACGACAGAAAAATAGGAAATTCCTTATTTTTTGCCATGGTTCTCTTACCAAATTATTAATATTAGTTAATTAATATTTTCTAGAACTGTATTGAAATATGTATTCAACAAAAAAATACCAATAACGGTTTTTTTGAATGTGTAACAGTAAATTATTTTAAACCTCACAAATTTTGTAGAAAATCCTAAAATATCGTTCTATCTAAACACTTTTTTCTCGAATAACTTTCTCCGACATTTTACTATCTAATAGGAATGTTTACAAAATAAAAAAAATCCCGTTTAACCATCATCAAATTATTAGGCATCGTTTCATAAGTAAATCTACAAAATTTAACGAAAATAAATTTCTATGAGAAAAACGGAGACGAAATATTAATATTCGTTCAAACGCACGAAACGCTCTCTGACGTCACAATGCGTAACGAGTTAGCGCGCGCAAGTACAGTAGCGCTACCAGCTACTTGGATCAGCTTTTTGTGACATTGCTTTTGCGATTTTTGTTGGCAATAAAGAATATTGATATTAATATTAATGTTATTATTATTATTATTATGGTTAGGTTTTAATTTAACGAGAGAGCCTGTTAACAATTAACAAGTATTTTGATAATAATGAATGAAGGCTTTCACGGCCGGTCAATTCTAGTGAAAAAGTTTTTCCCGGGCTATAACGCCGTGGCCCATTAGTATTTCTACCTAACGTTTCGTCTACTGCTGCGGTAGACATCTTCAGAGGCGGTGTGGTAGAGGACGAAGTGTTCTCTTACGTGTTCCTCCGATGACTGGATTCGACGTTGTTGGAGCTGCGTTATTTATATCCCGGGTTGTGGGCGTGGCTTGTATTACGTATCTTTGTTTCGTTCTCGGAAAGGAAGAGTCTTTGTTTTTCGGAGAACTGGCAACCAGCTTTTGTTGAGGTTCATGCCCGCTTTTTTTCTGTTGAACTTGTTGTGGTGCTTCTGTATCTCTATGGCTTCTCTGTGGAGTCTGGTGTAAAAATGTTTGGTTCTACCCAATGCTTGAGTCTGGTCGAAACGAATGACATGGTTTGTTTGTGTAAGCACGGCGATTGCTGATCTATCTATTTGTCCCTGCTAACAGTTTCTTCTGTGCTCTTTGACCCTGGTGTTGATAGAGCGTTTGGTTGTTCCTACATAGACAGATCCACAAGAGCAGAGAATTCTATAGACGCCAGCCGTTTCAAGAGGTGCCCTAGGATCCTTGGCCGATCTTAGACTTTGCTGAATTGTTCTTGTGGGCTTGTAGATAGGCTTAACGTTGTGTCTTTCTAGCGTTTGTCCTATGCGATCTGTGAAATTTTTGATATAGGAAAGTGTTCCATGTAGAAGTTGGCGATAACCGGGCTGAGTGGACTCCCCATTGCGACTCCATCTGTCTGCTCAAAGAATTCATTTTGCCATTGAAAGTACGTAGTCGTCAGACAGGGGTGAAATAAGTTGTTGATTTCCTCCGGAAAAACATCTTTCAGATACTCTAAGGCCTGATTCACTGGTACCTTAGTAAACAATGAGACGACATCAAAACTAACCAGAATGTCGTTTGGTAGTAGAGTGATGTCACTGATCTTTTTGATGAAATGAGTTGAGTCTTTAAGATAAGAGCTGGATTGGCCAATCCGTGGCTGAAGGAGGGTGGTGAGGTATTTGGCTATGCTGTATGTGGGCGATTCTATTGCACTTACAATGGGCCTGAGTGGGTTGCCTGTTTTGTGAATCTTAGGAAGCCCTCAGTAAGGCCTCAGATTTGATGAGCTTCCTTATGTTTTCCGGGTCCAACAACGGTAGTGCTCGGACGAGTTGATTGTTGATTGGTTTTTCGCAATATAGAAGCAGTGGGATTGCGCTTCAGTTTTCTGTAGGTGGAGGCGTCTAGCAGTTAGGAAATTTTTGATTCATAGTCAGTCACGTAAGTCACGTTCATGATTACCGTTGCGTTTCCTTTATCCGCAGGCAGGACTAGTATGTTCTTGACTGTATTCAAGCTGCGAATAGCTTTCCTTTCCTCGTATGTCAGGTTACACTTTGGAGGTTTCGCAAGTCGTAGAATCCTAGGCAGGTCTTTCGGTGTTATTGCAAAATTGCCTCCTTTTCTTAGAACACTGGTTTCCGAATCGGTCAGAACGCGTTGGGTCAGGTTGACAACTGTGCGATCATTGCCTGTGGGTTTCGCCGTGTTCAATGGTTTCAAGGACTCAAATTTGTTCACCAGTTTCTTGGTTGTTTTCGCTAGTGTGGCTTCCATCACGTCATACGTCATTCGGTCAATTTCGTCCCAATCACTACAGTGCATGCTTTTGAATAACCTTTGGTTTATCGATAGAAGATCCTTGTCCATAGCTGCTAGGTCTTTCCTGGTTTGGTGAATCCGTTCCCGAAGCAAGGCTCGTTCCGCTCGTTCGAAAATTCTGTTAGATTGGAAGGAATTAAAAATTCTTCGAATCTTCAGGAATTCCCAGTCATCGGAGAAACACGGAAGAGAACACTTCTTCCTCTACCACACCGCCTCTGAAGATGTCTACCGCAGCAGTAGCGAAACGTTAGGTAGAAATACTAATTGACCACGGCATTATAGCCCGGAAAAAACTTTTTCACTATTTTGATAATGTTGCTATCTCCTTCGTGTCGATCTCTATGTTAGGGTTTATCGAAATTAAGGTAGAAAAGGTACTATGGCTAAAATGGAAGAAGGTTTTCAAGAGGCCGATTTACATAATCTGCCAACTGTGGACGTGACTATGATATCAGAATTTTTTTTCAAGTGTTAAGACTGGAATTAGCCCCAGTCCAGTGGTGTGAAAGTAAAGCAGACGTATTAGACGTAGATATATGTAGTTGAATTTGAACAGTGATATAGTTATTCACCTATAACAAGTGCGGGAAGGTATACTGTTCCGCACGTAACGCCATTTGCACGAACGAGACGCCAGCGAAATTTCACATTTCCGCACCTCATCGGAAAACACGTACCTAGGTACCACTTTTTTCGACTCGGTTTAACTTTGTTTGAGTCTCCCATCATTACACAAACACAGATAATCAGAATTAGTGAATAAAGCAACAGTCAGCAATATAATCAATGTAAACTGGTAAACAAATCTTGCAAACGCGCCAGCTGATTGTTCGTTCCGCACAGTGACGTCACAAGCGCTACTCTCGCCGCAGGGGGTCGTTTTGCTAGCCTCGCTAATTTAGTTTTTTTTTGTTTTCGATTTATCAGAAAAAATGAAGCGTTCCTAGATGTTTTAACGCTTGATGCGTGTTTTGTGGACCTAGAACCACCACTTTTTATTACAATTGAAAAATAGTGAACATTTCTATTCCGCGTTTTCATATCGAAATTTTTGGAATTTGCCGCCTTGACAGTGTTCACGTGACCGACTTCAAAATGTACCTTTAACTCAGCTTCTTTTAGGCTATTGGACATGCAGGATCGATCGCACATCCTACAAATAAAGTTTTTCCATATGTAGCGAACACTATGGTGGACTGCATATTTAATTTAAAATTAACTTTCTTTCAGACTAAAATTCTATCCTCACTGCCGATTTTGTTAGGGTAGGTAATCAAAACATCGGAGTCAGGTCTGAAATCTAAAAGTTTCAGCTGGAGCGCGTCCAAAAACTGCTAAGGTAAAATTGAAGACGTCATGAATGAGCGTTCATAAATTTATTCAGCGATCACCCCAGGCGTTCTAAAATCTTCGCACAAAGAAGTATCTGGGTTCAGAAACTATCAGGCGACTTTTTGTGGGCCACATCTTACTTCCCTTGTGTTACCATCGCCCTAGATTTATGAACGCGCTCCTGTGGTAGTGAATTAAAGAAAAAAAGGAGTTATATTTGAATAAAAATAATCTGATTTAGGCCTGGCTCATTGTCTGAAGATAAGTAAACCGGGCCGCATATTCATTTTTTGCCAACGTAATAGGACCTTCGGCTGCATTCGTGTTCGTTCGAGCACAGCGTAGGCGAATTATGATTGAAGTGGACTGACGTTGGCAGTTTAGAGCCTGCCTGGCGTTCGGGAAAATATTCTCTAAATAAATTAAGTTGGAAAGTGGCAATTATTGTTGAAATTAATCATTGTTTCTATTCAAAGGCCCTAGAACTTTTTTGGTAGATTTGAGTTAGTTTCGGTTGGTTTGCGATAGTATGGGTTATTTTTGGTTGGTTTGGGTTAATTTTGGTTAAAAAACCGCACTAGGCGCTGGTCCTTTCTATTTCCTTTTTTCAGGCAAAGAAATGAGAAGTATCTAATCCAAATTAACCCAAAATGACCCGTGCTGGAAATGCGACCCAATCTCTGTTTCTGAAGCTGATCAAATAGCGAAAAAAGAGCGCGTATAAAAAATAGAGCGCATGTATGTATTATTAAATTTTGAATAAATAGGTATTATGAGTTACTGAAGTTGGTTTCTCTGACGTTGTGCGACAGAAACACAGTTCAGCTGAACATTTATTTTACAACAAGAAGAGAAAAAAAAGATCTTTTGTATTTTGAACTTTTCATATTTCCGATATTTTGCATTTTCGACATTTCTCAATTTTCACCTTTTGCATTTTCTTATTTCATTTTTTTTTAGCTCACACTCTATAAAATAATTACTTTCCATGTGGTAGTTCCAAAGACATCGGTAGTTCTATCTACCACAATATTATGCCATTCATTGTTTTCATGTAAATTAAATTCTTATCTTTTATCTTCCCTTCCTTCGAATGAAAAACATATAGCGGACCTAATTATCATTAAAATGCTTGTAACATACAGTCACATGAAGTGCCAACGTCTGGTTGCGATGCTCATATTCTGCCAACGCTTCATGGCGCAGGGCACGAATCTAGCCGAATATCAGTTGCGTTGGCAAAAAATGAATATGCCGCTCATGCAACCGGGCCTAAGGGGAGGGCACAGCAACTTCTTGATTTTGCAGGTTTTAATAAAAATCAAATAATATATGTATACCATCCCACATTATTCACGCTTAAAAAAATCAAAAACAAAAACAAGGTTTTTTAATATTTTTGATTTTTTTAATAAAAATCATTGATTTTTTATAAAAAATTATGGTTTTTTCGAACCCTGGACACCCATATAGCCGCTCAATAGTTAAATGAATAGGTAATAAATATTTACAAATTGTGCAAAAGAATTAAAATTCTTGTCTTTCAAGTGAGTATTTCAAGCTGCAAAAGGCAAGAATAATTTAACTAATTAAAATTAAAAATCAAGGCAACACTGTACACTATATTCATTCGCGCTACAACTCAAACAGTTCCTCCTGTTGTTGTTCGTGTAGCTCCAGACTGGTCCTCACTTTTTTTCCTTGTTGTTGCACCACGACCGTGTTTAGGGGAGCCCCGGAAACATTGTTGTTTTGTTGCTGTTGTTGTTTGAGGCGTGATTGAGGTCTGGGCCGGCGTTGTTGATGCTCTATAGTCTGATCTGTACCAAACCTAAGAAAAAAATTAGAATGTATTTGAGGCGTGATTGAGGTTTGGGCCTGTATTGTTGATGCTCTATAGGCTGATCTGTATCAAACGATTTATGTTGGTCGTAGTTTGATCATGAAACTAAAAGCAAAACTTCACTCTTCGATCACACATCACAAAAAAAATTGAAAAAATGCTCTATAAATGGTTGGAAAAGAAGAATACATAATAGTTGAATTAAGGTATTCCTGGAAATAAAGTTAAAGCAGAAGAGATAGGGTATATGCCCTCTGGGTCAAGTTCAGTTGCATGCACTTTTAGAGTAAGTACAGGGAGTTTCCTATATATTGACACCCCATTTTCAGCCTTTACCTTCACAGATTGACGAAAGGTGTAAATACAAATATTGTTGGGTTCTTGATGAATTTGAAGTGAATTGCGGAAATTCCAACCCAATGCATATTTTATGTTTTTTTAAATAGAATGCCCTATTATTGGTTTCATATTCATGAAGAGAGCACTTCTCAAATTCCAGAGATAGAGATAGTTGAGCTGACTCCAATATATTTGTCTCTACAAATTGTAAAAAATACTATCAGAGAAACTCATTGCCTTTTGTGAACCATTCTACATGTAAAAGTGAAGGGTGCAGGTAAAATTTGAAGCAGCTATGTGTAGTTTGATGCACAAAAAGTTGTTCACGTAAAGCATGCGAACAAACGGTTCACCTGAACAACCTTTTATGTGTCAAACTATAGGTTCTCCTGACAGTATTTCCACAATTTTTGGAGTGCAATACATTAAAAGCTACCCAACCAAATATAGGCATACTGTATATTTTTTTCGAATCAGAAAACTATGCTCTTAAGTTTATGGAACCAAATATAGGGCATTCCATTTGAAAAAATGCAAAATTTCACATTTCCGACATTCAAATTTTGTTTCTGTCAATAGATTCTGAAAATTCTGCCAAAACTCAAGAACTTTTGTATTTATACCTTTCTTCTACCTGTAAAGGTAAATGCTGCAGGTGGGGTGTCAATACAGAGTGAGTTCCAAGTATGGAATGTCTCAATTAACTCCAAAACGGCTTGCCTGATTTTCATGAATTTTGGTTTGAAATAAAATTGTAATATGGCCGATAATATGGTAGTATTTCCATGGTTGTCAGATCTTTCATTTTTCGGGAAATATCAGAAACTTTGTTTTTTCAAATGGATCACCCATTATGACATTTCCAGGGTCTGCGGAAAATTCTAGACATATTTTATGTACAATGTTATATACCTATCTTCAACTGTTTCGGAAATATTGACAGTTGAAAATTAACTTTTTTGCATCTTTGAGGTCTCAAAAATTAGCACAACGAAAATGGCAGACATCAGAAAAACTAGAGTACTAAATTCGGGCATATTTAGTGCAAATTTAGTACAAAAAAAATAATTTATTACTCTATTTTTAAAAAAATTACGTGCATGTGTATGTGTGCCAGCTTAAGATTAAGCTGGCACACTCTAGTGGGATAAGGTCGAATCTTTGGAAATCTAGTACCTCATATTTAGAGCTAATTTAGTACATTCATGGCACGCCTAAAAAACTAACAATGATGTATAACCACGGAGAAGTGCTAACTTAAGACTTGAATTAGCATACATACATCGAATCGACCACGCAACTAACTCAAACTAACGTCCGAAATTAGCACTAAATGTGTGCCAATTTAGTAATCTAGTTTCATCGCGTCATCGGTGATAATGTTCGTTGACTTAAACACTAAGCCAGCACACAAGTGCTAGCTCTGTGCTGATGTGATACTAATTCGTTTCGGGTCGTCGTTTTTGAAGTAATAAATTAGCACTGAATATGTGCACGCGAATTCCGTTGTCGCGCGGTCGATTCGATGTATGTGTGCTAATTTAAGTCTTAAGTTAGCACTTTCCCGTGATTATTTCGTAATAAGTACATCAGTACATCATTGTTAGTTTTTTAGGCGTGCCATGAATGTACTAAATTAGCACTAAATATGAGGTACTAGATTTTCAAAGATTCGACCTTATCCAACTAGCACGTAATTTTTTTAAAAATAGAGTTTTAAATTTATTTATTTTTCGTAATAAATTAGCACTAAATAGGCCCGAATTTAGTACTCTAGTTTTTCTGATGTGTGCTAATTTAAAGTAATGACTGTTGAACCTAACGGTAGATTTTAGAGTAAAACCAATCATATAATTCTTATCTTAGTTTTTCATAAACTATCATTTGACGACCTCAACTTTGGATTTATTCCATGATTAAAAAGTCCAGTTAAATTTAATCTCCGGTTAAATTCATAGTTGGTGTCAAATGATGGCTTATGAAAAACTATACACGAGAATGTAGAATTGGTTTCAAGTAAAATTAGCCGTTTAGGTTTCACAGCCTGTCAAAGCAAAAAAGTCAATTTTCAACTGTCAGTATTTCCAAAACAGTCGAAGATAGGTATATGACATTGTATATGAAATATGTCTAGAATTTTCCGCAAAATACATAAATGTCATAATATACAGGGCGATCTATTTCAAAAAACCAAAATTTCTGATATTTCTCAAAAAACGAAAGATCTGACAACCATGTAAATACTACCATATTATCGGCTCTTATTACAATACTCTTTCAAACCAAAATTCATAAAAATCGTGCAAGCCGTTTTCGAGATAATTGAGACGTTCCATACTTAAAACTCACTCTGTATATGGAGAAACATCCTTTACCTATCAGTTGTACCTATATTTAAATCTGAAATCTTTTCTATTAGTTTCATGTTAAAATCTGCACAAATAGGTAGGTATGTATGTTGGTTTTTCTGGAAAAACGTGGAACTGTAAGAAGTTAAGATGGCATTAGTAGAATAAAACACTAGTTGGACTCTTATAAATTATCACCGAATGCCTCAAAACCTAACTACATTGCATTTTCAGTCACATCTGTGAACCAACGAGAATTTGTTTAATAATAGCCTTGATAGGCTCAAGTCAGGGACACTTTATCCGTTAGGACAATTAGGTCATGTCCTACGGGCCACAGAGGATGGGAGGCCAACTGCTGGCCTTTAATTTATAATATAAAATATAAAAGCCCACTATATTAAAAACATCGACTTGTTTAGTAGCAGGACTAGCACATATTTCATTACTCTTTAATTCTTAAAATTCACACTGCACAAGTACATTTGGCTTGGCCAGAGTGCACTGCCTGACGTCACGATGCTCTGAAATTGCTCCGTTCGCTCCATCGAGCATCAATCGGGAACACACCCTAAAGTCACTGAGCTGCGCTGTCTCGCCGTCGCGTCATTAGCGCAGCAAAGGCACATGGCAACAACTACAAGCAGGAACCTGTTAGTGTTTGCGCTAAGCCATTTGTTTCGTCTGAGGGTCTGTTTATCAATAGAGAGTTACCCCATAAGTTAGAGATAACCCTGGGTCAAGGTTGTGACAAGTGTTTATCTATCCAGGGTCAACTGCTACCTCGAAAGTTTTTCCAAGAAAAAGTAAAACCGCGCTCTCACGGCAAATTAGCGTATTTGACCCTGGGTTATCTTCAACATTTTCTGTTATTTTTTGTCTGCATTTTTTCGAATGTTGTGGTTTTGGCTTAAATTTTGAAATTCTGAAGAGATGCAGGACCAAGATTTCAGTGTTGATGATCGAGATGTTCTATGCCTAATCCCTTTGACAATTTTGATGACGTCGGCGAGTTTTCGCTTACGAAAAGAAACAATCTTACTTGTTTTAGAACAAATCGAAAATCGAGCATAGACTCGAATTCCCAACAGACAGGTACCACGTAAGTACCTACCTATGCTTCTGGTTTTTTCTCTCAGACATTTTCTTCTCTTTGAAACAAAACAACATATTTCCACACAGAATAGGTAAGTACGCGATACCGAAATTTTCGTTACGGAGACAAGAAATACCATAAAAAAGTAAGGTTATGAGCAGAAAATGTCGAAAAATCGGCAAAAGTGAGCTGGCAACGTTGCATAAGTAATGCCAACCTTCAAAGAACCCGAGAGTTTACAAGCCCTGGGTTGAAAAAGCTTAGATAAACACTTTTCGAATTGAGTAGGTACCTAGTTAAGTTAGCCCATCAGAGTTAGAGTTAGCTCAGGGCCAGCAAACTCTGCGAGTTATCCCTTGATTGATAAACCGGCCCTAAATGATTTTATTTAACCCTATAAAAAAGAACAATCACTCCATGAAAGGCCATACCAAATAATTGACCTACGGGCCAGAGAAAGGTTAAAGCGTCACTGGCTCAAGTTGATAGCACAAAATACTTGGGAATCATAATTGTAATTGACAAACATCTGAAATGGGATCAGCATGACATATTAACAAAAAACATCAGAAAGTTAATTAATTAATTTTATTCAATTGGAGAAATTTTAAATAGGCAGCTTTTAATCCTTGCATGTAAGGGAAGAAAAACTTACTTGAAATAAATGAAAAACTAAAAAGGCTAACACTTATTACTGCTGATATAGGCTTTTCCACTGGTAATAAAATCTTCCTGAACCACGACTTGACGGAGACTAGCCAACAGTTATTTATGGCGGGGAAGGAATATAAAAACAATAATGGCTATAAGTTTCTTTAGATCACGGAAGGAAGCATACTGCTGCGCAAGGATGAACAGTCCAAGGTTATTCTTTTGGAAGACCGAGCTCAGCTGATGGAAAACTAGAAAAGCCTAGAGAACTGAAGATACTTTATATGAATATTTACTGTGATGAATGAAGACTGTGATTGATCTACTTCTTCTGACTGAAACTTGGCTGTATGAAGGTGAAACCTTTTTGTACAATATTATGAAATATAAGATGGGGAGGGCAGAGGTGGGGTGTTTCTATGTGTATTAATAACAGTGTATCTTTCTGGGATATTGAGAAATCTGAAGCTAATAGTAAGTTTAATTGGGTATGTATAGGGTTAGGGCAGTCAGATTTAAAAGTAAGTGTGATTTATAGACCCCCATCCTTTTCTAATCCTGAATTCTTAGCTTCTCTGGAGGATATTATAACTGAACATAAAAAAAATCATCTAATAATAGGGGATTTCAACATAAATCTTCTAGATAATTCTCACGAAACTATAAATTACAAAAATTTGATCAGACTGAATAATTTTAAGATACATTATATTATATCGCCTGAAAATGTCACTAGGGCTACTGATCATTCTATTAGTATTATTGATCTCGTATTGACTGATCAACACAGCAATAAACTGAATTGTAAGGTTAGGATAGGTAACGGCTCTATATCGGATCACAATGAGTTGTATGTAACCATAGAAAAAAAAACATCAAAAAAACTTAGCAAAAAAAAAAAGCATGATGTTAAAATAGTTGATCATAAAATATATATTTAATTGATGGAATAAACTGTATAAATGTATTATAAGCAGATATATGAATAATCAGACATTTTCTTATTGCGTTGCTAAATGCATAGCACTCTACAGTAAGATTTCTAATAGAATAAAGTATTTACTTTATGACCCATCAAAATATTAATATTTGGAGAAATCGCCTCCTGTTTTTCTCTTGCGTATAACTCCGTTTTATTAAATAAAGTGGATTATAAATCTTGTTAGTTTTTTTATAGAGCCTGTATGTTTTGCAGTAATTGAGAGATAAGAACACTTCAACCAGATTATCTTACAGCTGTTTCCACTGGTATTTACAATACTCATCACAAACAGGCATATCTTCAGGCAAAGATAACTGTAGGGGAAATATTTACACAGATAACACTAACATCGATTAAACAAGTGAGAGCCAAAAACTACTTACTCGCTAGTCCTTGTTACTTTCTGTACTACCTCCTTAGTGTTAGCAATGGAAGCATCAATTTTACTCAAAAAATCACTAATATTCTCTTCCTCAAAGCTCAGGCTCCTAGTGGTACTGCAACTTGCGACATTTTGATTTAAACTCTCGGCGCTAGGACTGGTTAGTGTGAAGGACGTTTGAGAACTTTCTGGCGAAGACTGCAGATCGATGTTGGCGTTTTCTGGTTGAGGTATCAAAAGGGATTCTCTAAGAAAAAGGCTGTCCGACGCCCATAGTTTATTGGCTCGTCGAATTTGTTCAATCTATAAATTATGTATAATTTCAGCTTAGAAAATTTGGTCTCACCAAAGTAGATTTTTGCATCAATAATAATAACATTTATTTCAAAATTGGTACAAACAGAATAACAATTGAAATCACGTCAATAAGAACATAAAAGGCAAAAAAAGATGTAACTAAACATTTATCTGTATAATTGGATATGCTACTAACACTACAAATACATAGAAAAACAAATCCTCATAATTTACATATTCGAGAAATCATCCAAGGTATATGTCTCCAAGTTAATAAGCAATCTTTGGACTTCTCTTTCAAAAGCAGATATACCTTCCCTTCAATCTGTCTCACTTGTCATTGCAATGCACTAAATAATTAAATAATTTAGGACTTCTCCGACTTAATTGGAGGCGATGTATGGGGTAAGATAAACATTCTGACCTGGTGGCATTTAGACATTCCACTATACGATTCGGCACCGTCTCTAAGTAGGGTTGCCCACTTTGTTTTTTAATTTTACCCAGTCGCGGTTCTCCCATATGGGCAAGGTGGGCACCGCTACCCTGGGGAAAAAATTAAAAAATTAAAAATATTTTAAATACAGTATTTGAAAAGACTGTAACCTTGAAAATCTTTAAAAAATTCTGCCTACGCTTGTTTTTTATTTTTGTCGCCCACCCTTACTGAGACACCAAGAGCCGCCACTGATTTTACCGGACGAGGGTAATAAAATTTCAGGACATACGGTATAAATTCTGGACATTTCTATTATTGCTGAGAAAAATACCATTTAGAGTTCTACTTTGTTCAATGCACAATCGATTACGCGCATTAGTCCACAAAGATGAACGCATTGAAAAAATCCTTTCAGCGTCATCATTGGACCCAAATATAGAAAATACAACTTGCAAAATAATCCAGAAATTTTTCAACTCAGTATTACAATGGTATTAGTCAAAAATAATAAATTCCATTTCCAAAGTAATGCATGATTTTCAAATATGACAATCCCTTGATCATTATGAACCCCCCCCCCCAAATGAAAAACCTGGGTGCGCCACTGTCCTCGATAAAGCAAATTACATAATTATTTTGATTAAATTTTCAATTTAATCATAGATATTATTGAGTAGAACGCGATAAAACTGCACAATGCGATAAATAAATCAACATAACATAGCCTCCAATCAATTCTACATTCCGCTTCGCGATTCATACCGTTCGCACAATCCACCACGTATTGGTATAGTATTGGCGGCAGTTTAAAATAAATCAACTGAAGCATATGACATTGCACTCTCGTGTTGGGCACCGTTCTAACAATCTACTACGTAGTTCCGCACCTTCTATAATTGCACTCCAAATTGACCAATCAAAATTGAGGCGGGTGCCGAAATCTATAGTGGAATGGCTAAATGCGACCTGGTGTTATATCTTTTGGTTCTTAGCTGTTCAAATAAATTTTTATTTCTTTGTAAAAACATGAGACATTCAAATATGTACAACATGCAGTTAATATTCCCCTAATCCTGATTATATGCGCTTTTGCCTCAAAAAATGATTCCATATGAGGTAGTGTCGAACGCATCCTCAATTGAATGCGTCGACGCATTCATGATGACAGATGACGGGACAGGGAAACACCTCCTTGCCTCTGACATCAGTCGGGTGAGAGATCGAGGAGGGTGACATTCTGCGGCGTCTACCTCCATTCTCGCTCTTCCCTTATCTTTGAGTTTATTGTTAAGTGTTTTGAGTCTTTTGTTGTGTGGAATAAAACAACCTAGTAAGGGTTATGTTAATCAGTTGTGTTATTGGAGTTGATCCCCTTCTGCAGGCACGGACCGACCTCGCCCTCGAAAATAAGGGCGAATCATCACATTTGGCGCCCAACGTGGGGCACGTGAGCAGAGGGGAAACGCTGGTGGTTACAATTGGGTGAGCATTTTTCATTTTATTAAATTGGGAAGCCGTTAGCTTAGTTTCCAAAACGAGAACTATATTCGACGCGGAGACAACAGGCGTGTGGGTTGTTGGTTATGGTTGGGTGCGCTGTCAAATCGGCGTAGGAACGCAGTCGTTCAGCAGGCTGATTTCATTGGTGGTGGACTCGACGGAGTGTTGGGTGCTTGCACTGTTTGCATTTGGAGCGAACAGCTGAACTCCGAACGGATCGGCGCGACGCGACAAGGACAAGTCGCGTTAAGAGGATAGACACATTTCAGCCAGTAGTATCTATTAATTTTGCTGGTATTTTTATTTTAAATTTATTGGTAGTTAGTTGAAATATTTTCACATCTGTGATTTTGACTTTAATGTTATTTTGTTTTGGCTGGTATCTATTATTTAAACTTTATTTCTCGATATTATTTGGTAGTATTTAATATTTTAAACGTATACAATGAGTCCTAAAAATAGAAAAAAGAGAAACACTAATAATTCTGGGGATTCAGATGATGATATACCTTTGAGTGAAGTTAGGGCACAAAGGGAGTCAAGGGAGACTTTAAAGTTACTTAAAAATCTTTCGGTAAATATGGCGGAGTTGCAGGACTGGTATTTCTAGACTGTCCTCGGAGGTTCAGGTCATTGATACAAGAACTCACGTACAGGGGATTGATAGGGAGTTTACGCCAAATAAAAATGATCAAACAGGGGAGACACTTGAAAGCGATAGTTCAAATGCGTCAAAGGTATTGGTCGATCGTGGATATATCTCAAATTGCAAGGAACTGGGGGGTAGTAACCTTACTTTCTACCCTAGCTCAAAAATTCACGCTATGGCATTTTTGAAAAAATTGAATAAAATTTTAGAGGATGCGGGCGGGGGTCCCTGAAACAAAAAAAAACTAATCTGGCTTCAACATGCCTCCGAGGAACCGCAGCTGACTGGGCTCAAATAAAGGAAAAATCATTTACAAATTTCGGGGATTTTCAAAGGGCTTTTCAAGCTAGGTTCTGGGGGTAGACCGTGAACGCGAACTTTATCTGGAACTATCCTATGGCTCATTCGAGTCGGGCCGAGTATTTTTTAAATTTAATCAATCAAGCAAATTATTTGTGGGAATTTTAATATCGGAAAACTAATCGATATGCTGTCTAAACATTTTCCTCAGGAAATTCAGCGCGGATTGTTATGAATGGTTTTAGCACTGTAGATGAAGTGGAGGCATATTTGCGAAAAATTGATGAGACATTTATGAAAGACAATAGAGCTGAGAATTCTGGTAGGTTTCATCGGCTCACAACAAATTGAAATTTTATTAGATACTGGGTCGGATGTATGCGCGATATCGGAGAAGTTTGTTGAGGCATTGAGGGGCTTATAAAAATTGCCCACTTTACCAGTGACCAATGTAAGTATTGCTGTGGCAGTAGGGGGAAATACGCAACTGGTTAAAACTCAAGTTTGCTTACCAGTCGAAATGGGGGGCTTGAAAATGGACGTTATTTGTTTGGTGGTTCCAAATCTAAATTGTGAAGTGTTGTTTGGGTCTAATTAGCTGATGAAATATAAGGCGACGTTAAACTTTGAGAGTTCTTTGCTAATTTTTCGATACGAGTCTAAAATTTATCAATCAAAAATGAATTTCAAGATTAATGGTTGCAATCTACGAATTAATTTGTGTAGGGAATATTCAGGCAAGGTGATTCAAGGTGTAAAAGACGGTGTGACTCTAGAACAGAATGTAAGACATTGTTATTCCAAAATAGATTTCGCAAATGCAGTTGATAAATCGTCTATAGATAATGTATATAAAAAAAGGTTGTTTGATCTTCTTCTTCCTTAGAGCAGGTAATTTCCTAGGTGGGAGGAGTAGGAACATGAAGTTGAAAATTGAAGCCGTTTTTTTCCAGGTATTTTGAGATCCAAAATAATGGCGGTATAGCTGATTCAATGGTTTACCTGTCATTTGGCGTACAAACACCTGCTAAAAACTGGCTTCATTTTTAGTTACATAGCAGAATGGTGCGTTCCTACTCCTTATATATATAGGACAGCGCTTTACCTGCTCCAAGTCTTCTTCAGTATTCGGATATATTTTCAGAGAATCCGGGATGTGTTAAAAACTATTTGCACGAAATAAAATTGACAAGTTATGAGGAGTTTAAGGCTCCTCAGTATCCGATTCCAGTGGTCTACAGAAAAGAGGTGGAGTCGCAAATTTTGGAAATGTTAGGTTGTGACATAATTCAAAAACAAAAAACCTAGTATGTATCCCCTTTAGTGTATGTGACGAAGAAGGATAAATCGGTGAGAGTGTGTTTGTCTTCCTAATCCTAATGAACTTCTATTAAATTTCAAAAAAGGCCAGATTTTAAGTACGATTGATCTGACAGCGGCTTATTGGCAGATTCCTATTAGGGCTGAACACACTAAGTATGTGGGTTTCTTCCATTCGGGAGAGACTTATACTTTTAAAAGATTGCCTTTCGGCCTTAGCACCTCCATGGCCAGTCTCATAAGATGCCTTAATCAGGTGCTAGGAACAGAATGTAATAGTTTTACATGTGGTATGTGGTTATGTAGATGATTTATTGGTCTCATCAGATAATGTTTCAATGCATTTGCAACATCTTCAGACAATTTTCAGCAAATTGCGTTTTGTGGGATTAACGGTGAAGTTAAGAAAATCCCAATTTTTTGGAAATGAAGTAGTCTTTTTGGGACATATTATCTCGGCACAAGGGGTGTCGATAGATCTTAAAAGAGTATCATCAATTCAAAATTTTCCAACTCCAAGGAATATTAGAGAGCTACGTGGATTTATCGGTCTGGTCAATTGTGATCAACGTTTTTGTGAAAGCTATGCACAACTAACTGTTCCTTTGCTGAAACTACTAAGAAAAAGGCAGATTTGGAAATGGAGTAAAGAAGAAGATGGAGCTTTTCGAGACATTAAGCAAGCCTACTTGCATGTGGGATTTGTGTCACATCCTGATTTGGCTCGTACATTTTATATTCAATGCGATAGCTCCGATTTGGCTTTAGCGGGCGTCTTATTTCAATACTCTGATACCA